CAGCTGCTGCTTTGCCGACGTCCGGCAAGCATTATCCAGTGCGATGATCGACCGTGTGCATCAGCACACTATATTGCGATTATTGAATCAACACTATATTACGTTTTAAGCACACTATAAATATGTAGAACTAGAAATCGTGTGAAATTTGCGAAACCACACGCCGTCGCAGCAGCATGGAGGAAGGCCGCGTGCATTTTGAGGACCAGCCGCAGCGCCATGCGGCGATCCTCGAGGCCTTGGATCACGTCGAGAATGTATACCGCTGCTTGATACACGATCATCTCATGCATGCTTGACTGGTAGCAACTCGTGCTGGCGGTGCAAACGGCCGGCAGCGCCATGGAGCACATGGCCGCGATCACGACCGAGGGCCGCGACGCCGAGTTCCAGCGCACGTCGACCGAGTTCCTCCAGCTCGTGCGCAGCATCCACGCCGAGCTTGCCAAGCACGCGCACCTCGTGCAAGACTACCGCAGCTACGGCCGCAGCACGTACGGCGTCGAGAAGGACGCGGACCTCGCGCGGAAGAAGGTCAAGATGATCCTGGCGACCCTGCGCGACCTGCGGCGATACACGGACGAGCACATGAGTACCGAATAAGATGATGAAGAGGGTATTGTTAGATCAAGCGCTTCGGCAGACGATAGTGCTGGAAGTGCTCGTGCAGCTTTTGCACGTAAAAATGGTCATCGTGCAGCAGCGTCGGCGTCGCGTCGAGGACGTCGTCGTCAAACATGGGCTAGACGTCTGCTTCATCGCAAGCGACATAGGAGAAGGACGTACGTCGTTGGCGACATTCGCTATCGCCTCCTCGACCTGCACCTCGATGGCTTTGAGCTCCGCGTCGTGGGTCCCGGCCTCGTCGTTGCCGTCGTGACGCAGGATCGGCCAGCCCAAGCGGTGGAGGTAGCGCCAAATCTTCTTTCGGTGCAGTGCGTCGCCCAGAAGCGCTCTCGTGCAGTCGCTAAATTCGTGCTCGTCGGCCGGCGACATGATGTCGGCGGCCTTCTCGATGAGCGCGGCCCGCACCTCGTCGCTCTCCCGAGCGCATATCGCTGCCAGCGTCGCGTACGGGTCCTAGAACGAGTCCATTCATATGCATATTCCTTCGTCGCAGATGACAACCTCGTCGGTGGCGCGGGCCGTCATGAGGAGGAGCGTGAACCACGCCGCATGCCACTTGAGCGACCCTTCGTTGGCGGCCAAGATGACGTAGACCAAGATGTCCATCGCGCCCAGGCGGATCTAGCAACAACAACGTCATATAGCGTTGTGCTCGATCGGCGCACAGCAATATCAGCGATTTGGGGGCACTCGAAAATGATGCTGTCAAAGCAGCGGCAGAGGCGCATGACCGGCGACTTGAGGTGCACAAAGCACTCGACTTCGACCAGCTCTTCTGCATCGTTGGGTACATTGTGCTCTCTAATATACCGAATATGACACGTCGTTTATCACGAATGACGAGCGTACTTGACAACGGCGCAGCGGCGAAACCAGTCGAGCATGGCCGTGCAGAGGGGCACCTACGGAGATAGTTGGTGTGCCATGAAGCATGTATCATCCTGTGGGCGTACATGCAGCGACGGGTTCTCGAGGATGATGTGAATGAGCTCGAGCGCTTCGTACTGGACGCGGTAGTTGGTGTGATGGAGGAGTGCCATCGAGACAGCGATCGAGTGGTCGAGCTGGAGCTTGCAAAAGCGCGCGTCAAAATACGGTGATTTCTTTGAAATCAATTCGCGCAAAATCTAGCGCAAAGGACGGAATTGAGAATGACGTTGCGTTTTGAGTTCGTACTTGAGACCCGAGGCACTTGACGCTGTCGGTGGGCTGGTCAATGAGAAACTCGAGCGCGGCGTACGTGGTCGCCATCGACGCCGGGTTGCCCGTGCTCTGCTCGATCAAGAAACTTCGGCACGCGAGCCACACCGGCGTCTCGCACGTTGCGTGGCCTAGCAACATAGCACCATCGAGATCTAGTCGATGCAGCGAGTATGTCAGTCGACTATAGTCGTAGCAGCGTCAAAACTACCTTGCTCGTGGACGATGGCGTTCGGTATGACGATGTACCTCGCGCGATGCAGCTCTGGATCACACTGCGCTCGGCGTCGCACGAGCTTATGTACTCCTTGTACGTACGACCCGCGCGGCCAATGTACTGGAGGAGCGCGATCACTTGGACGCAGTCGGCCTCGAGCGCCACGTCACTCGCAAACGTGAGCACATAGAGAAGGATGCGCACGCCGTCCATCTGTCGTCCACTTGAATTCTCAAAATCAAGCAGTTGATAATTCTACATCGATAAAGTCTTGGAGAAGGCTGTGGTTGGCGTGCAGGAAGATCTGAAGTGCTTGGACGTGCTGCGTGAGGCCAAAGCCGTCGGTGCAGCCAAGACGCAGCCACGAGAGGATTCGTGACAAGTAGAGCGTCGTGGTCGTACCGAGCGCGTGCTCCAGGTCGACCGGTCCCGACGTCGCGCCTCCGTACTGCGCCACGAACGCCTGCAAGTAGCTCTTGCGCTGCGCTCGCGTCGCTACCTCCACATGTCGTACATGGTAGCATTTGCTGGCGTACCTTCGTCCCACTGCTTGAGCATCGCGACCACTCGAAACGACCAAACCAAAGGATTTGAAATTGATTTACACTAGAAAAAGACTATGTAACGAGTTTACCAGACAATGCACTTGTTCACCGGGTTCATAGGCGACCCGGCCTTGCACTGGAACGCGTCGGCGAACGCAGCCGAGTTGTAGAGCGGGCCGTGGACGCGCCACTTGCCGGGCGAGTGCGGGTCCGTGTTGAGGAGCAGCGTCGCGGCCGCGTCCGACCGCTTCTCGCACCAGCCCTGCGCAAACGCCGTAAAGTAGAGCTTCTTGTCGTCGTAGCCAATCTCGGCGATCGACGGCTCGGACGCCTTGGCGCGAAGGTACGCCAAATACGCGAGCTTGAGACCGCCGTTGTCGGCAATGTTTTCGCCGAGCGTGAGCTCGCCGTTGAGGTGCCCGAGGAGCGTCTTGCCGTCGAGGCCGAGCACCGGGAACGTCGAGTACTGGTCGGCCAGACACTTGGCGTTCTTCTGGAACGTGGCCTTCACGGACGGCGACCACCAGTCCGAGAGCTGGCCGCTCGGGTCAAAGTTGCGGCCTTCGTCGTCAAAGCCGTGCGTGAGCTCGTGGCCCATGACCATGCCAATGCGCGCATAGTTGACAACCGCAGGAAAGCGCTTGGCGTCGTAGAAGGGCGGCTGCAGAATCGCGGCCGGAAACACAATCTTGTTGGCGGTCGGGTCGTTGTACGCGTTGACGGTGAACGCGTTCATGCCCCACGCGGTCTCGTCGACGGGCTTGCCGATCGACGCAATGCTCTTGGCCATCTCGTACGTCTGGAGCTTGACAACGTTGTCGTAAAATGCAGTCGCGCTCACGTTGAAGGGAAGCGCGGTGGCGTTGTCGGGGCCGCCGATAAAGTTGCCAATCTTGGCAACCTTCTCCAGGCCAATGCTGCGCGTCGAGACATCAAGCCACGTGTCTTCGTTGAGGACGACAACCATCGACGCTTCAATCTGCTTGATGAGCGCCTGCGCCGACGCCTTGGTCTTGCGGTCAAACACCTTGTCCATGAAGAGGTCGCCGAGCTGCTCGCCGAGCATCGACTGCACGAGGTTGTTGCAGAACTTGGCGCGGTCTTGCTTGAGCGGGAGGCCCTGGAGCACCGCGCCAAACTTGTGGTTCGCCTCGCGGAAGCGCTCGCCGAGGAACGCGCTCTGCGCGTGCACAAGGTGGAAGCTCACGTACGCCTGGAGCGTGTGGAGGTCCGTCGACCGCAAGAGCGACGTCTGCGCCTCGAAGAACGCCGGCGTCGACACGAGGACTGGCACGTCCATCTCGAGCACGTCGGCGCGGACGCCGCGGAGGAAGGCGGCGGCGAGCGGGTACTTGGCGCGGATCTCCTTCAACGTAAACTTGTTGTACGTGGCCCACGGGTCGCGCAGCGCCGCGTTCGGAAGCGAGATGTTGGCGAGCTGCGTCTCAAACGCGAGGAGGTTCTTCGTAAAGGCCGTCGCGTTACGGTCGTTGAACGCCGGAATCGCGTCGAACGCACCGACGTACTCGGTCAGGAGCGAGACAAACTTGTCTTGCGCCGCGTAGTACTCGATCGACGGCAGCGTCAACCCGCCCTGCGAGAGCTGGATCACGTTCAGCGACGTGTTCTTCGGGTCCGGGCTCACGCCAAGATCAAAGAAGGACGGCGTCGACGCCTTGGCAAAGAGCTCGCCGGCGTACGTCAACAGCGCGTCGACCGACGTGATGGACGCAATGTGCGCGAGCTGCGCCGACACGGCCTTGAGCGCGACCGGGTCGATCGCCGCTTCGGCGAGGCACGCCTCGTAGAAGGCGTTGATGACCGGCGGCTTGCTTGCCATGATCTCGCCGATGATGCGCTCGTTGTCCTTGGCGACGACGCTGAACGACGTGTCCGCGCGGTTCTCGGTCTCGGGGATCGTCGTCGCCTTGAGCCAGCCACCGCACGCGTACTGGTAAAAGTTGTCGCATGGGTCCACGCTCGCGTCCATGAGCGACTCCATGTGCTGGAAGAACTCGGCGTACGCGGCCGTCGCGTTGATCGGCGTCGTCGTCACCGGTGCCGTCGTCGAGGCCACAGGCGCCGACGTCGGGAACACAATCTCATCCGGGTGCGTCGGGATCGGCGTCGCGGGAAGCGTGGTGTCCGTGCTCGACTGCGCGGTCGCCGTCGTCTCGGTCGCGCCGTGGCCCGCCGTCGCGAGGTAGATGATGGCCGCGGTCGCAAGCGCACCGCCGACGGCCGCGTACTTGGGCCAATCGCGCTTCAAGCCGGTGGTCGCCGACGTCGTCTCGCCCGTGAGGAGCGACGAGTGCTCGTTCTGGATGTCGCTCGACATGCTGCTGGACGGGCGAAATGCAAAGTGGCGCAACGAAAGGGTCAAGTCGCCGGCCAGCTGGCGCGATAGGATCAGCGCCAATGCGCGCTGATTGGCTGAAATCCCATCGCTTGTCCCCGGCGCTAGACAGGCCGCACGCCATTTTTTGTCACATCGACTGTTTGACTTGGTATTTGTATGTCATTTTAATTGAATCGATGCGAGCAAGTTATCAGGTGCGGCGCTGATACAGACAAGACGCCGTTCAACCCGCGCCGAAGCACCGACGAAGACGCCGCCGCTAGGCTGGCGACCGAGGGACGCGCAATGGTCGCGTGCGACAGACAGGAGCTCGGTAGAGCCATGCAATACTTCTAGTGCAGGTTCTTCGCGCCTTTGCACCAGACTCAATGTGTCCAACCTCTGCACAACACTCTGCATGGGTTCAGGTCCACCACCTGCACCAAGGGCGATCAGGACCTCATACAGGCGTGACCAATCGGAGGCCGCGCGTCGACTGGCGTGGCAGTCTTGTCTTGCGATAGGAAGCAAGGGCTTGCGATGCTATGCAAGTCAGCTCGAAAAAACAGCATTGGTTTGGTGTGTTTGGGGCAGTGTTTCGTCCAAGTTTTGCGTGAGCTGGAATCGATGAGCCCATAGCTTGCATGTACCCAAACACCTTTGTGTTGCTTGCACGGCGACCGACTGACGATTGCACCTGAGCGGTTGTGGGCGGCTGTCAACCTCAAGAAAAAGCCGTGAACATGCACGCGATCGCCGCCGAAAGGAGGGGTGTCACCGACTGCAGTGTGGTTGTGTTTCGCGACGGTGTCATCGAAATGCTAACTTTGAAGACACGTCCAAATCTACGATACTAGAACCATTCAGGGTGGCGAGCTGCGTGCAGCTACGATGAAACACCAATGTAGGGCGATGCGAGAATACTTGCAGCATCATTGTCACTGTACACTGTACCACGCGTTCAAGTAGCCTGCCTCCAATAAACCACCGTGCCCACTGACGATCGATCATCTTACCGGTATCCGCGACAACTGCAAGAAGACGCTCTTCCGTTCTAACGACTGACGCCACTTTCTGTTTCACGACGGCGATCTTGACGCGTGCACAACAAAGAGCGCCAAATGCCTTGCTCTCAGAAAAAGAGCCATCTCTTTTTGCTGAACATGGTGCGGGTTTTATACTGCAAACATTTGGATCCCATGGGCGCCTACATAAAGCCGTATCATTCGAGAGGTTTCTTTCCTTGCATCAATACCATTCCTGTGCCATCTTCCTGGATATCTAGTGCATTGAAACTTTAATCGATCCCAACTAATAACTCGAACCAACGCTCGGATCTTGGTGTTCACCTTTGTGACAACTTCAACCTGTACAGCTACTGTGTGCTGCCACGTCATGAGCCGTTTCAAAACGGCGTGTCGAAAATCCAAAATCCATCGTGCACGTCGAGCAGTCGTTTTGAGGCGACTCATTTTTCCTTGGACAACGTACGCACGCATGGGCTACCTTCGCGCCGAAGAGACTTTGTCGCCGTATGCCGACTTTTACGAGCGCATGCATGCCATGATGGACACGCGCGTGGATCCGTGCGACGACTTTTACGCCTACGCGTGCGGCGGCTGGCTCCAAGCGACCGATACAACAAGCGACGACGACAGCGCGTTTGGGCGTGTCACGACCTACGTCAACAGTGTTCTCGACGCGATCATTGCGGCGGCGCCACCCGGCATCCACGAGTTTCATTCAGCATGCCTCGCCGAAGGCGACGTCAACGACGACGCTATTGCTGCCATCAATGCTCAAATTGAAGCGCTTGCAACCATCGACACGGCCGACGCACTGCTGCGATACGCGGGTGCGCTCGTCGCCTCGACGTCCATCTCGGCCTTTCTGGATGTGGGGCTCACACCCGACGCAGCCAACAGCTCCGTGTACGTCTTGGAACTCACGCAAACCGTCTTGACGCTGCCTTCCTTGGTGTCCTATGCGACGTCCGAGAAGTATATGGAGCACCTCGTCGAGTACATGGCGAGCTTTGCAGTCGTGCCCGCGCTTGCAGCGACCAACGTCACCGCCCTCGCGCTCGATGTTCTTGCATTTGAAGTGCGCTTGGCCAGTATCTCGGTGCCAGCCGAAGTGCTGCGCGATCCACGGTCGACGTACCATCCCGTCACGATGCGCGAGGTCCACGCCACGTACCCTTACATTGCGGCTTTTCTTGACGGCTTGCACGCAGACGCCTTGGGCAATGACGACGCCACCATCGTCCTTGGCACGCCAACGTTTTTCGCTGCACAAACGCAGCTGCTGGCGTCCACGCACCTTGCGACGCTCAAAAACTACCTGCGCTTCCGTATTGTGCATGGCCAGAGAACTCTGCTTGGCGACGCGGCGCGGCGGGCGTACCGTCAATGGGAGGTCGCGCTCTACGGCGTGCCACCCACCGAGTCGCGCTCGGACTTTTGCCAGCAATTGCTGCAGGCGTACTTGGGGCCGCAGATCGGAAAGTTCTTTCTCGAGCGTGTGTTGGATGAGACGTCGGCAACAGAGGCGACAGACCTCGTCCACGAAGTCCAAGCCGCGCTAGTCACTGTCTTGGCCAACACGCCGTGGCTCGACGCAGCCACACGCGCCCGAGCGCTCGAGAAAGCATCGGCCATCGAAACGTTCGTCGGCGGCCCAACGGCAGACGAAGTGCCCGTGGCTTTGAACGCGACCAATTTTTACGCCAACATGATGGCCTTCACGGCGCTCTACAATGCGTATGCGCTCGGGAGTATCGGGACATCCGTCGACGCGACGGCGTGGGGCATGGGCGCCTTTACGGTCAACGCGTACAACGACCCATTGGCGAATGCCATTTATCTGCCTGCAGCAATCCTCCAGCTACCCATCTATGGCGCATCCAAGCTTCCGCCCGCCGTCAACTATGCGCGGTTGGGCATGATCATCGGCCACGAGCTCATGCACGGCTTTGACGACCAAGGTCGCAACTACGATGCGCGCGGGAACCTTGTCGACTGGTGGTCGTCGAGTGTCCAAGCCACGTTCGAGGCCCGTGCGCAGTGCTTGGTGGACGAGTACAATGCGTTTCAAGTGTACGGCCGCGCGACAAACAAGTCGGTTCTGCTCGGATCGGTCAACGGCAACCTCACGCTGGGCGAAAACATTGCCGACAGCAGCGGCGTCAGGATCGGACACGTGGCGTTTGCGACTGCCAGGCAAGTGAATCCCTCCCGCTTTAGCACAGACGACAACGACGATGACAAGGTGTACTTTACCGCGTTCGCCCAGCTCTGGTGCGAAACGGCGTCGGATACTGCCATGACGTGGCGTCTCGAGAACGACGTACACGCGCCCAGCGAGTGGCGCGTCCGCGGCCCACTGCGCAACTATGATGCATTTGCCTCTGCGTTTCAGTGCCCCGTAGGATCGCGCATGAACCCCGCCACCAAATGCGTCATGTGGTAATATACAACGCAAGTAATATTCTACAAGGCGCTAATGGCTGGCGCTGGCAAGCAAATAAAGTTGAGACGCCACAAGAAGAAATCTGTAGCCGAGCAAAAGTGTTGCAACGCTATCGAGCTCGAGGTTAGCTACTGTCGCGGCGCCCCACGGATGCACTGTCCCATCGAGGCGTCGGCGGCGTCCTAGCTACGTGGTCGACGGCGTGTGTGGGGCTAGCTCTGCTGCGCAGCCTCGCTAGTGTCTTTGCGATATCATTGAGGACGTTACGAAGCTTGTCAACTCAAGTGCCTTCACCGCCCTCGTCGACATCGTTGAGGTACAGGAAGAGCGTCGCGAACCGGTTCGGTTCAGAGTGGCGCAAATGCGTAGGGAACTTAGACAGTTGTCTCAGCGATCGGCCTCCTCGTAGACACGGTAGTACGCGTAGCGGAAGGCGTCGCCGGCGCGCTTGGTCCAAGCGTTCACGGCGAGTTCGAAAAACGTGACGCTGCTCCGGGCAGCATCGAGCAAAACGTTCTCGGCGTCTTGGTTGGTTTGCAGAAACTCGACCCACTCGATACCGACGAGCGCCGCCAGCTCGTCGAGGGTATGGTCTTCCAGCACGAATTTGACAAGCTATACAATACACATTCAAAGCCAATGGAAAATACGGCAAATTACCGTCTTTTCGAACGTCGTACGGTATGTCGGGTAGTGGGGGCTGGACATCGGCGGGGGCGTCCGCGCCGTGGTCTTGGATGCATTCCTTGGCCCACCGGATCCAGCGAAAGTAGTGCGAGACGCCGCTGACGGGCGGCTTGGGCGCTCTATTCGATCACGTCATTTGAACGAGATGGCATGCCAATTGCACGTACGTGTAATGCAGGGCCGGCAGCGCCGCGCGCTTCTCCCACGACGCAATGATGTGCGGCAGCATGTACCCGCGACTTTCGAGGAGTATCTCGACGAAGCCGTTCGCGCCGTTCGCCACGTTTTCCTTGACCCAGTCGCCCCACTCGACATCCGCGTACTCGGTGAAAAAGTCGGTCGCCGCCGGGTCGTTCAGAAACGCCTGCAGCACGCTGTGCTGCCACGTCATCGTATCGTCGGTGTTTGGGGGCATGGGCCCGTCGCGCTGAAAGCTCGGGTCCAAACCTGCCTCGGCCGGGAGGCTCTCGATCGTAGCGGCCGCCCATGTACACCTCGTCTTGTAGTCGGCGACCGCCAAGTTCTTCTTGCCGAGGAAGTCCTTCGAGTCAAAGTAGTCTTCGTGCTTGCGGATGAACTGACCGGCCTCGTAGCGCACGAGCTGGAGACGCTCGGAAAGCGCCGGGCTCGGTAGATGCGCGAGGGCCGCCGTGCGCCGGCGAAAGTCGCGCGTGAACGCCGAGTCGTCGAGAAACGCCGTGTAGCTCGTGCGGTCCGAGTGGTACCCGTCAGTCGCGTCCTTGCTGCCGACGGGCGACCGCTGGAGCTTGTTCATGCCCTCGGCAATGATCGCATCCGCTTCTTTGGCGTCAAAGAACACCTCGACGTCAAACACGAGCGGCGAGAGCGAGATCGTCTTAAGCGAGATGCCGTCAATGTTGCGCGTGTACCCGACCTTGATGCCGGGCCAGACCCAGATCTGAAAGTCGACAAGGACGTACACAAGTCGCTCGGCGTTGACTTCGGCAGCCGTCGTAATCGGCTCGCCCATGCTGTCGTAGAAGCGGAGACCGTTAGGAAAATACTCGGGGTCGCTCCCGAGCGCGGTGGCTGCAGCTACAGCGAGCTCGTACTAGCACCCGCCCTTGGGCTGCCACTCGACAAGGACGCCGTCGTCGCGGCCGTTGAGCGCAATAAAGGCGCTGCCCGTCGCACGGAGCGTGGCGGCGTGGCCCAACGCCACGTCGAAGTGGACAGGCTCGGGCGTCACGACGGTCGGGAGGCTGCACGTCGCGTCCGGCGTGAGCAGCTTCCGCGTTGACGGACGTGCCATGTGCACGCAGTTCTCCGAATGGGTTTTGTATCCGGATCCCATCGTCCATAGTTTTGATTGGCTAAAATGTACAGACGTGGATCCTGATTAGCCTATTTCGGTTTAATTTCGCCCAATGAAACCTTGAGCAGCATGCGATCGTTTGCGCGCTTTGATTTCCACGCACGATGATGAGTCACATCGTGCCACACGAGCATCGGCGCTCGACGTCACCAGCATCACGTTGCGATCATCGAGTGCATGGCGGCGCCCGCGAATGTCCCTCGCTTATCTGCGCACTCCCATAGGTCGCGCTCAGGTCTAAGCTGACCGCGCTCGTCGCTCTGCTCCAGCATAATCTAGGCTCCGCGCATTAGCCGCGAGCCTGTCTAGACGCGAAGTGCACAGACGAGTGGAGCATCGTTGTCTTCGTATTTGGTAGCAATCGGTTACGATAGACTGCAAGAA